TATAGCACCAACAGATTCCGTAGCGCTTTACAATATTATGAGAAGGGGGATTTAACTATAAATAGGACAATTACAAGAAAACTTACAGGAATGATAGGTTGAAGAGGACCCTGCTCAAACGAGCTTACAGTCTATAGGAGAAATTATGTATATAAATATTTTGTAGGTTTTTTTTATATACTAATTGTATGTCTTTTCAAAGACTTCTGGATATTAAATTCTATTTTTATATTTACATATTTTAATTTGTTTTGGTCTGAAAATTAATCCAAAGAGGATTACAATTGATAGACTAATTAGAATACCTGGCTTCTCAACTAGTGTACATTTACTCCAGGGGGTATGAACACCAGAAGCAGGGGTACACAGGGACGCAAATTTTTTATCGCCCCATGCCATGGAACTGTTCTGGAGAAGGAAGCCTTCAATACCTTTAAATGACTTCTCATATTAGGTGCCACTATTTCAGCCAAGTTAGGGCTCTCTGTCCAGTAAGTAGTTGGCACTACAGTCACCTAAGGAAGACTGAACACACCTTTTGGAATAAAAAAAAAAAAATAGAGACTTTTTTTTAATCTGCTCTCACTGTATTCATGACCCAGGAAGGCATTTATCGTTATTAGAATATTATATGGTCAATACATGATCATCACTAGTTTTTGCTGAACTGCGCTATTATTGTTGTGTGTTTTTGTTTTGTTTGTTTTTTACATGTACATAACTACATTCTTAAGAATTGCATACAAATTCATGAATATTATACACACGCTCACCTGATTTAGTTTTTTTGCAAATCTTATCATGACTTTAGAGGTTACCCAAGGTTGCTGAACTGGAAACGCATACCTAACACAGAGAATTTTTCCACTTTGGCTATATTAAACTTAAATTTTCTTTAAGTTCACATTGAAATTTTCAACAATTCTCATTTTAGTGGAAAAAAAAAAACAGTAAACCTTCAGTTGCCTGTTTTCTTATTTAGTAATAATGTCTGGAAATGTGGAAGGAATCGGTTATATTGTATCTGGAGTCACATAATACATAGCCAGGTTTATTCACTAACAGAGTTATTTGCTGAGAATTGTCAGGAATTCAAAATTAATTTCACAATTAAGGCAACATAGTAAACTGGAAACATTCTCCGAGTCCGCTATACTTCAAGTTTTAGCTACTTTGGCCTTTAATTTGAAAAATATTTTGAACTATTTTGAATTTCCAATAAATTGAGAAGTGATCAGTGGATTTCATATCTTAAGCTATACCTGTTGATCAAGAAATATGACTCACTATTTTTTTCCTAATTTGGATTGGCATATAATTAATAGTTTAGTTAATAAATGTCACAGTATCTAGGATTCTTACTATCACTACTGTTAGAAAAAATATAGAAAATCAAAGTACAATTTGAATACATAAAACTCACGGAGGAGTGAGAGCTTGGGGCTTCTCATACAACATTCTGAAATAGAAAAAAAATTGATTATATGTTAACATTTGAAGCTATTATCAAATCAGGTGTATAAAACAAAAAAAAATAAACAATTGTTCATAATGTTGGAGTTTACTCTACAAAAATATACAAAAACAATTCATAGTGCAGCATGTACATGAAGGCATAGGGGGAACAATATCTTGATCGGTAAGTCAACCGGTATACTCGACTAGATATAGAAGTCTTAGTAAGTATGTTAGCTTTAACTTTTTCCTTGATGGCTTTCCCGAACACCACGGGACTCCAAGGAGCAGTTAAAATTATTTATTAGGCAAATATAAAATGCATAAAAAAAAACACAAATCTTTTTTTTCTGTCCTACAATCCCGAGGCTTCTACATTTGACGGAGTATACTGGTTGATTTAAATGGATGACTTGGAAACACATGGAAAGGGGCATGGTTGCCCAAAGAATTACAGGTCAGCCTGTTTTGACAGCCTTTCTGGCCAGCCCCATTTAGTGCTGCCTTGGTGTACTCTGCATGGTCCTACAGCTGTATATATCACGCAAGAGCATCTATTGATGCACTTTCACCATGCTTGATGGGGACAGCAACGAGAGGAGATCTGGACAGTGGGTGCAGAGCCAATGGTCCAATCAAGGACTTTTGAGAGGTATTATTATTATTGTGCTGTACAATAGGACGATAAAAACAAGTAGTTGCAACAAGACATGTTAGTCATACAGGAACAGACGGTGCTGAGGGCCTTGCTCAAACAAGCTTACATTCTAAGAGGAGCAGGGTGAAGTGATCTAAGCGTTAAGGGTACGACGCTTTCCATGTAACAGAAAAGTAGGTTGTTTGAAGAATTTACGATAAAGGCTTAGTTTTGTAGATGACACAGTTGCAGGAGAGAATGTGAGGTGTGGAAAGGGAAAACTATTAACAGTTTAAATGGTATGTCTTCTTGACAAAGTGAGTTTTCAGTGATTTTTTGAAGGAATAAAGACTGGAGGATGAGTTAAATGGAGATTGAAACAGAGGTCCAAAGGGGTGGCATGAGCTGGAAGTGCATAACACCAGTAGAACTGGATTGCAGTGGTCAAGGCAGGTGATAATAGCAGCACAGACGAGAACCTCCGCTGCATCCAGTGTAAGCTAGGGGTGGATGTGAGCAATGTTTTTGAGATCGAAGTGCAGGAATTGGTGATTGATTGGATGTGTGTTGTTTGAAACAAAGAGAAAGCCAATGCAGCAAGCCTGTTAGGTAGAACTAATGGTAGTGCCATTAACTTGGAAGGAGAAGAGTAGTCGTGTGTGAAGGAGGAGATATTGGGTTTATGGAAGTAAGCTTAAATCCAGCTAGAAGTAGCAGACATGATTCTGACAGTCAGAGACATGATTCAAGAGGGATGGAGAAAGATCAGGAGAAGGCACATAGAGTTGAACGTCATCAACATATAAGTAATATCAGAAGCCAAAGGAATGATTTAGACACACTCTGGAACACAGACCCACACTAGTATACAGTCACAGCTAGCACACAGACACATCACAACATACAGAAAAAAAATTAAAAGATCCTTCATTCTAGTGACAAGCTGACAGGTAATGTTTCAGCATAGGTCAGCCTTCATCAAAACTAGTGTATAATATAACAGAAGTACATTTATATATGTATATATGTAATTAATTAAAGGGTGGGAAACACCCAGATAAATTGTGATTGACATAGATACAAATTAACACTCCGTTCACCAACAGATGCTTGTCATTTAAAGTGAAAAAAAAACAAAAAAAACTCTACTCTCTACAGAGTGGCAGTGGAAGCCATGATATGATCACATGGCACCTGCTTTGTTTCTCAATGTTACTATGTAATAGGCAGTAATGATTTTGGGGTAAGATCAACTACACTCATACAAATGGTATATTGTATCATCAATAAATAATAATAGAAGGAATCAATTGTACCATACTCCTGGTGATAGCCCCAGTGTATCATATCATTGTTTTCACAGCAAAATCAAATGTTAAGTTACCGTCGAAGAAGTTTTGCTTCTTCTATTTGATCCGCACTGGAAACACTGTAAAGGTTGTTAAAAAAAATATATGGGATATTAAACAAATCCTCAATGACATTAGCAGCACGTATTTAATAAAGTGATACATTGTATAATGATTAAAGTGATAAAGCACATGAAATCAGAAAATGAATGTTATTATATTTTTAGTGAAAACAACAAAACCATACCACACTCTCTGCAGAAAGGCAGATGTTAAGTTACCTTTGAAGTTTTGCTTCTTTTATTTGATCTGCACTGGACACACTGTAATGACTGCTAAAAATAATATGGGATATTAAACAAATGCACCATCACATCAGCAAACTTTTCATAAAGTGATAAAATAATATGAAACAAATTAAATCAGAAAATAGGTTTCAACATATTTTTTTAACCAAAACTTAGATTTATTTTTTTCTAGCACAATTCATTCATATTCCACTTATATAATAAGTTACCATTTTACACATTATTTAAATGACAATGTTGGTCAGCCGTTAATTGTGGACCTAATTGTCTGTATTGGACTTCGACTTGGCTGTATTTATAATCATAATGTAGGCCGCTGTGAAACTACTATTAAAGTATAAAGGACTTTACATAGACATTTGTGATCCAGAGTTCTTTTCAACAATATAATAATTTGCTTATTGTTTAGAAAAAGGGAAGTGCTCATGCCATTGTACAGAACACTGGTGAGACCTCACTTGGAGTATTGTACGCAGTACTGGAGACCGTATCTTCAGAAGGATATTGATACCTTAGAGAGGGTTCAGAGAAGGGCTACTAAACTGGTTCATGGATTGCGGGATAAAACTTACCAGGAATGGTTAAAGGATCTTAACATGTATAGCTTGGAGGAAAGACGAGACAGGGGGCATATGATAGAAACATTTAAATATATAAAGGGAATCAACACAGTAAAGGAGGAGACTATATTTAAAGAAGAAAAACTACCACAACAAGAGGACATAGTCTTAAATTAGAGGGACAAAGGTTTAAAAATAATATCAGGAAGTATTACTTTACTGAGAGGGTAGTGGATGCATGGAATAACCTTCCAGCTGAAGTGATAGAGGTTAACACAGTAAAGGAGTTTAAGCATGCGTGGGATAGTCATAAGGCTATCCTAGCTATAAGATAAGGCCAGGGACTAATGAAAGTATTTAGAAAATTGGGCAGACTAGATGGGCCGAATGGTTCTTATCTGCCGTCACATTCTATGTTTCTATGTTTAATGAATTAAATTTAGCCCATTTATAATTTCCTATTTAAACATTTTTTTAAAAGTTTTCATTTGTGAATAATTTAAGTGTCAGTGGATATGTGAAATGTCTCTTTTAATAAGTAGTGGTAATTTGAAGTAGGTCTAAAGGGTTAAGAAAATGAATGATTGAACAGGCATCTGGATGTATCATTGAGCTGAAATAAAATAGTCACAATCAGATAAGATTTATTTTATTTGAAGGACTTAAAATGTACTCAATCCGCATTGCATGAAAGTAGTAAGACGGGATGCCATGCATTGTTCCTACAGGTATACCTGAAGAAGAAAACACATTTCACTCTTTGTGTAATTATTAGATTTGACTTGCAAGAATAAGCAAATGAGTGGATAGGATAAGCATTAAAAATCTGAAAATTAAAGATCTTAAACTGAATTATGCCTTGGTCACTGAAAGTATAAGCCATATCTTGAGAATGCCAAGAGCATACGTCAGTCATTCCAATGTGGCTTCTACAATAAACCCGGTCTATGAGGAAGTGCCTTTGAGCATGACATATGTAAAGAGGCTTGGTTCCTTGGTATCGTGTTTCCTCCTTTTCTGTTCCCAATCTATTGCATGTCATAAAAACATTTATTAAAAGTCATCTGACTTGACTGTGCCCTGTTCTTTGCATTTATTATTCTTATTAAAATGATCATTAGCATCTATATAGAGCTAACATATTCCAAAGCATTTTACAATTATAGAAAGGGTATATTTGGAGATGAAGAAGGCCCTGCTTAAAGGCACACTGCACTGACCAAATACAAAATAAATAAAAATCACTGTATAGCAAATAACCCCAAACAAAAACTTGCACACATTTAATAATGCATTTTTTTATTGGGGGTTTATCTAAAAACAGCTTGTAAAAGCTGCAGTTCTCCTGCCTGCTGCTTTTGCAAGCTTTTGGCTGTCCAATCACAGACTTCTCAATGTAGCTCAATGAGACGTCTTTGCAAGGCAGGTGATCTGGGCAGTTACTGCTTCTTGAGTTTAGCTCCACTGAGCTAACCAAACCAGGAAGTAAAATAACAGATTATCTGATCAACTGCCTGGGGGTTTAACCCGGTTAATGTATAAAAGTGTACATTTCTATTGATATCTGCACTTTTTCTAAATTAAAAAAAGAGGACACACTCTACACACATAAAGCTTTTCAGCAAGCGAACGTATTTTAGGAACCTGGAGTGACCCTTTAATGTAGGAAATTATCTATCTGGGTTATTCTTTAAAGTGAAAAATTCTAATTTAAGGTCAAAATAGCCAAACTGGAAAAAAGTCAGCTATGCTTTTAGTTTAGCTACTCTGGCCTCAAATTTAAATTTCACTTTGAATTCTCACTTAATAGTAACAGTAAATAACCCTGTATGAGTTAATGGAAGCAAACTTACCAATAAATCTATTAATGCAAACTAATTTTATAGTGCCAATTAATATGTTACTTATTGGCGGCAGGTTGGGTCTACTATAATAATATTCTGGGGGGGATTTATTGTCCCCACCCTCATGCCCACACATTGGTGGAGGGTGAAGGCTAATGTAATAATATTCTGAATGGGGGGATATTCCCAGGGCAAATCTTGAGAGAAGTAGAAGTCAGAGTTTGCAAACCAAGCCTGCTTTTCTGGACATATGCACTAATTTGGGGCAGAGCCATTGATTCAATTGATTCAATAGGCCTGCCACCTTTCACCCCCTTCCAACGGCGTTCCGATTCCTGGACTGTTGCAGTCTGGTTGTTTGTAGCTTTTGTCAACAGTAAAAAAAAAAAGTACATTGCTATGCTATTATCCATTTCTGCCACATTCTAGATCATTCCATTCTGACACCAGATCAAGCCAGCTTATCTTCGTGTCCACCTGGTTAAAGCAAACTGTAAGTTTCCAGTAGGTTCCACAATTGTTCACACCATCGTTGTGGAGGTTTTTCAGTTCAGTGACCAGATCAAAACAGCAAGTGTTGGACCTCCAGATTGTCACCAGAGTGACCAGATTAACAAGAATTAGGACCAAATTGTCACAGAAGTGTAACCAGTGTCCAAAGGAAACCATATGTGTCAGGAGTCTGCAGTTAGTTTGTAAATGGATTACTGTAAAGCAAGTAAGAAATGTCTACATTGTTTTTACTATCTGTTCTATGTATTAAATGGGCAAACAGTTGATGGATCAGCGCTTAGTGGCCAGTTTGAAGCTTGAAATAAATTGAGGGTAGGCTGCAACCTAAGGGTATGATGTCCCTCATAGACCATCAAAGAGAATAGTATACAATAGAGATAAAATTAGGTCACGCTACAATAGACAATAAGATGATATGATTTCAATAGTGTACTTACATACACAAGACAGAATGAGAGATAGAGTAGTCCTGATTTTGAGACATATAAATTGAAGTCCAACTTGACTTGAGGAACTTGGATGTAGTATGGATCTGTTTGTAGTTCAGATCCTGAGGTAGTCAAATTATTTTGGAGAGCTAGTACAAGCTCAGGTGTAGCTAGCATTCAGTGGCGTTGATCCCCCACTGGTAGGATGTAGGTGGTGGTTGATGATAGGTGGCTTGGAGTTTCTCGGTATGAGCAGAAAAATATAACATAAATAGTGCTCTCTGTATATAACAAGTAAAAGGGTTGTTATAGAATGGTATTATACTCACATTTTAGTGAGCAGGATGTACTGCTCACTATAATAGCGTGGGTGGTATAACCCCCTCCTTAGGATTCTTTGAATGAGTATATACTGCAAAATTCTTGATGACCAGTTTAAGAAAATAAAATAAAGAAAATTGTTTATAAAAGGGTATATGGCACACACAAGGTTAAGGGGGCAATATTTCTTTAATAATACAAAATAAAAAACATTTAAAAACAGCCAAAACGCATTTTGCCAACACAGGGCTTCATCACCTGGCATTCAATGCCACTTTATGAAGCCCCGTGTTGGCGAAACGCATTTTGGCTGTTTTTAAAAAAAAATTATTTTGTACTGTTACATGTTGTATTGCATTGCTTCTCAAAAGCACAATCCCACTTACCTTCTGTTAAATAACCTGGTCATTTTTTACAATGTTATTTTGATGAAGATGTGGTGACGGCAGTATTTACTTACATTTGGGATCTTTCCAAAAAGCAGTGATAATTGGTCAAACCAATTCTGCTGCACTACTTGGAGGAAAATCAGCTAAACAAATGAGAAAGCCTTCAGATTCACCTATACTCACCATAAGTATGAAATCGAGAACAGAAGCAGCACAAGAAAAAACAACAGAATCCACTTTTTTAGATATAGGTTTGCCCTGCAAAAGAGAAATAAATAATATACAATGTTATCATTACATTTGAGAAAGAGAATTATATCTGTTCTTACCTGTAATATACTTTCTCTATAAACAGTACCAATCTCTACTGATAAGACAATAATATAGGTGGATATGTCCAACTGGGTAAATATTCAGCTTTCTGGGCCTTATTTTATGGTCATACAGACACACAGGGACTGTGGAAAAAAAGACACACAGAGGGGCTGGGGGTAAAAGACATACAGTGAGGCTGGGGGAGAAAAGGACACAGAGGGGCTGACGGAAAGATACACAAAGGGGCTGTGGGGGGGAAAGAGCACACAAAGTGGCTTGGGGAAGAAAGATACACAAAAGTGCTTGGGAGAGGAGAATCACAGGACTGGGGGGGACACAGAGGGGCTCTGGGGAAGACTGATTCACACATAGGGGCTGGGAGGGAATAATGACAAATAGAGGGAATGGTGAAGAATAAGACACACAGAGAGGCAGTAGATGAGAAATACAAAGGAGCTTGAGGGTAGAAAGACACACAGATGGGATGTGGGAAAAAGAGACACACAGAAGAGCCAGGGAAGAGGAGAGAGACATACATAGGAGATGAGGAAGAAAAATATACTCAAAAGGGGCTTGTGGGAGAATGAGACACACAGAGGTGGATATGTTGCCATCTGTTTGGTGTCGTGTAGGGGGATCATCCGCAGGCTGGCTGTCACCACAGATGAGGGCTGAGGCGAGTGATGACTCAATATCATCCATTGAAATGTCCAATAATGTTTAAATAAACAAAAAAAAAACAGGAATACCGCACACTTATTTAAGTTCTGGTGCAGCCAGACCTGGGGTTGGCTAACTCTACTGATCCTTGAGTGCCTGGACCACAACTTTGTTCAACAATAATGTTTAAAAGCGGGGGGGGTGAGATGACATTTTCAGCAAATTTACAAAAAAATTTGTGGCTTCTAGCAGGTAAAATCATTATTCTATAGGCTGGATATTGTAGGCAGACTGTAAATAAAGGTGAATGAGGCTTTATGTACTAGATTTGATACACAATACATGCAAATAAAAGTATATACTCAATTTTGGTACTGAAGCTTTTAATAAAAAACTCATCAGTTAAAATATGCACTTCTGGTCTGCAAGTGAGATCAAAACATTAAATGGTGCCTGGGTACTGTCCTGTAGCTCCCAAAGTGCTCACAAACAACAAGTGCATTTAAAATAAATTAAGTAAAAATAATTAAATATATAGCATGCTTTTTGACTGATAAATTATGTTCCTTTTTAGATAAAATAGAAACTGTTTTTGGTATGAAAACAGCATGAGAAATTGCATATTTATATTATTTTAAAGGTTAAGTTAACAAATAGATATCTATAGCCAATAAAAAAAAAAACTTCTTAATAAAAACACTCACCTAATATGTGGTATGCATAAATACAAAAATACTACAGGACTTCCATTGCAACGTACAGCCTCCTCGGAAATAGAATACCATTTGCGTGTACTTGAGACTTCTGAAATAAAATACTTCTTTCTACTCAGATATTTTTTTTATACTTTGTATAACAATACCTGCAAATACTGTAAGCACAGTATTTTACCTTTATGATGTATATATATATTTTTTTTTTATTTTTTATTTTTTTACATACCGTATGTTGTAAAAAGTCCATTTGCATGCAAAAGGTTGTTTATACCATAATGATGAACACAAAAATGGAAAAACAAAATTGTGTGCATTTGTGTAATGTTCTTTTTTTGCATGGATTTTTGAACAGAGATCTCTAACCATTCAGGTTTTGTCTTAAATGTATACATTTAACAGCTGTCTGACAAAGATCTGGACTTTGTTCCCTATATTGAGAACTTTAGAATATCTAAAATCCAGATAACTTTCAAGTTCAGCTTTTTGGGAATTTTCTTTGCTATTTTATTATATTTCAGTAACTATAAACAGAATAAACCTTAACGAAAACATACATATAGATATATCTAACTGACAAACAGAAGAATTACAATATATGTCTTTTAAAATCTTCGTGAGCCTCCTAACAAGAAGAAAAAAGAAAATAAATATATATTATAATTATTTATTTCACACACCATATTTTTTTCTACCCCGCATTTTCAGTTTGTTCGTATAAATGAGAAAGAACATTTCGATAGTGAACATTCTGTCCAGCTTGCACTTGCATAAGTACCTATTTAATGTGTCCTTTTGCATATCATATACATTGCATTATATATTACGGGTATTTTAGTTTCTCTAAATAACACAGAAATAATTGAGAATTACTTACATTTCTCCATCTATGCAGGATAAGAGTATTAATAACAGGAGTTGAGAGGAGATGAACATTAAGATTCTCTTGATCCATGGTTGTTGTTCATTAACAAACTATTGGTTATTCACGCCCATCATAAGGAAATGAAACACCTGATTTGCAGAGGAGGGTGTATGGATCCAGATTTAAGAAGTCTTACAGATTACATATAGCACCATTTTACTTATATATTGCGATATTAAAATTACAAGTGTTTTTTGTTTTTAATGTTTAGATCAGATGTACATAGCTTTGTAAAAGTTATATCATAGTAGAAGTAGGTATACTAAGTCCAGTAGTTATAAATTATATAAATATATATTTTACTGGTAACATTACAGTAGACACAGTTACAGCAAGTACTGTAATTATACACTATTTGTATATGCTTAGCACTTTACATTAAGAAAAGAGAGGCACAGTAAGTGTTAAGAAGGTATGCAATATATATATATATATATATACAGAAAAAATAGAATTGCACTCCAACTTACTAGTGTCGTTGCCCGGTGCTTGTCAGCAAAAAAATGTACAAAAGAGCGTGAAGATAGCACTCTCAGGACTCCAAAATATTGAAAGTAAAACGTAACTTTTAATGTCCATAGTTCATCAGCCTGATGAAAGTTTGGGTTGCAAACTGAAATGTCGATCTCTTAACTATGGACATTAAAAGTTAAGTTTTACTTTAAATATTTTGGAGTCCTGAGAGTGCTATCTTCACGCTCTTTTGTATATATATATATATTTTAGATTAGAGTCACTACTTCCTAAAGGACTGACCTAAATATTTGGTCAAACAAAGATTACTTGTTTGTATATAGTTTTTATACTGTGGGTGTGGGTACCAGTATGTTGGTCGGACCTCAAGAACAACATGATGTACAAGTCATTTTATTGTATATCTTTTTGTATGAGTATCAGCAGATCACAAACAGTATGAAATATGTGTTCAAGGGACACTATAGTCACCAGAACAACTATAGCTTAATGGTGAGTACAATCATTGCCTTTAGGCATTTTTATGCAAACACTGGCTTTTCAGAGAAAAGGAAGTGTTTACATTGCCCATAGGGACACCTCCAAGTAGCCACTCCTCAGATGGCCACTGGAGGCGCTTACTGGCTCAGTGCTGCAAAGTAAGCCGTTCAGCAACCCCATGCATAGCTGAATTCTTCTCATAGAGATGCATTGATTCAATGCATCTCTATGAGGAGGTGCTGCTTGGCCAAAACAGTGTTTGGCCCTACCCCCTTGCCGATTTTAGCCAATCCAATGCTTATCCCATGGTATAGCATTAGATTGGCTAAAATCGCAATTTTGATGATGTCACCAAGGGGGTGGGGCCAGCGCTGGCGGACCAGTGGAAAGCAGAAAATAAGGTGAGTTTAACCCATTCTGAGGGGGTTAAGGGGAGGGGGCAAGCCACCTAAATGGTGGGTTTTCACTATAGGGTCAGGAATACATGTTTGTGTTCCTGACCCTATAGTGTTCCTTTAACTTTAATTTTGTTTTGGTAAAACTAGTGTGTGCAAGGATTTTTGGCTGCACAGGCAAAGATGCATTTTGCCACCCTCCTCTCCCCCCCCTCACCCCCGAAAAAAAAGTGTCTTCACCTGTGTGCCTTTTCATTTTCTTACCCTCTTTAGTGTATTTTATCCCTCCTTTATTATGTCTTACACCCTCTTCCCTCTTGTTTGTTTCTTATAAGCCTCCTTGTGAATATCTTTCTTCCCCCAGCCCCTTTATGTGGCTCTCTCCCCTCAGCACATTTTTTATCTTTTTCCATGCGATATAGTCATAGATATATAGCAACACACAACTGTACAGGCACTCAGTCACAGAGATATGCAGGCATACAATCAAACAAATACAGGCACACAGCCATACAATCTACACATACAGGTACAATGTCATACAAACACAGACACATTCAGACACTGTCATACAAACACAGACAAACAGACACACACAGACATTCAGACACTGTCATACAGACACAGGCATACAAAGACATACAATCTACACATACAGGTACAATGTAATACAAACACAGACGTACAGAGACATTCAGACACTATCATACATACACAGGCTCATAGTCATACAGACATAGGCATACAAAGACATACACACACAAGCTCATAGTCATACAGACACAGGCATACAAAGACATATATACACAGGCTTATAGTCATACAGATACTGTCATACAGATACAGGCATACAAAGACATACATACACAGGGTTCCTCGTTTGGGAACTATTCTCTATCATACCACCCATGCCTACATATATTGAGCAATATCCCATTTGCTCTTCACTTGTGAGTATACCTCCATCTTTTATCATTTTATTTAGTATCATCCAGAGAGCACTATTTTGTGTTTCTATCCTCTTTTTTATATATCACCAACTATTCGAATACTGTCCCACAGACATTGGAAAGGAGATATACCCTACTACCTCTGGAGACCCCCTTTTGAGGACATCCAAGGACCATCTACATATCCATAGACGAGGATTATACCGTCCAGGTGCATATATCTGGAGCTGAGTATAAGCTCCAGAAAATTGGAAGTGCAATTCCTTTCCCTTCATTTACTATCACTTAAGATCCTAACATACTACACTATATGCGTGTCTTTTTCCTTCCCTGCTCCATATGGCTC